TTCATTAGACCGACCAATTCAACAAGACCGTGACTGACTTTGTTTCAACCAGCTGGTACATTGTTCCTAATCCTATTCATTTGTTTCGACAACGTGCCTAAAAATATTCACACCTCTTTATTGTTCATTAGTGTTAGGATGTCAAACATGCAGTGAAAATGCTTTTGTTCTTGCAACAACTTTTGTCCATACTCCTTATGAATACGTGCATGTGTCGCAAGTTTTCAACAATGAGCTGTCATCACCAAAAAACTGTTAAATTCTTTTTCAATGCTCAGTATATCTTTCGAAAACAACTAAATTCTTGATTTAAAAAAAAATTCATGTAGTTTTCCCATGGAAATCAAAGCCAAAAGATCGCACTACATTATCGGTAAATCACTTCCGTGTTTCCGTTCACCATGAAGTCGGTGACCTGTCATTAACATATTTAAATGACTAAAGTAATTTGAACATGTGGGCACCATCCAACATTTTTATTGGTTAATTCGCAACCTGACCTATTCGGTCAAGTAACGTCTCGTGTGCATTCAAACTACATGGTGGATGTCGTAGCACATCGATCGTTTACATGTGTCCGAAATAATTCGCTTACTGTGAAACTAAGTTGAATTTTACTTGCATTTGATAACAATTCAACGAATTTATTTTTCGTGCGTTATTATAATCACTACTGAGTAATAATCATCAATTTCAACACTTCGAAAACAAGTAAGTTATTCACTTGTGAGCCGAAGCATGGCCAGATTGCGTTACCGTACCCACGGTACCGTACTTTTTTAGTGCCGTACCATGATCATTTTCTACTAAGCAATGCATTAATGTTTGTTTTTATTTGAAGCTCCTGTCAGAATATACTTTCCGTTATGAAGAAAATTAAAAAAATAAATGCATATTACATTAAATATACTGAGTATTTTTTTTCATGTGAACAGTTTTTGTGTGACGTGACGCTTATCGCTCTTCCCCGACATCTAAATTGGAGTTACGCTTATATTCAAAAGATTGTACGGTGTATTGTTTGCTTTGTGCAAGTGATGTGGGAAAAAATGACCACGCCCAGTTAGTGATTGCAATATGTACGTAATAGAAACCGCACCCCGAACTTGAGCTGTTGATCCAAATTTTTTATTTGATACATTGTAATATAAACCGCGGTTTATATTAGGATTTTAACGGTAGTCCCTGTTTGGGCGAAGTTTGAAAATGAATGGACTCTATGGACTGACCTCGCTTTATGTGTGACAGTGTCTACCTGTATATTGGACATGCTATACTGATTACATTTAAACTTCATATATTTCATAAATCTTTGATACATGTGCACATCATTTAGTTTTCTGATCAGATACAAGATGGCTGAATGGCGGCCATTTTCATACATACATTGGATATTATAAAACTCGCCCATCATGTTGTCAGTTCAAATTCAAAATGTCTAACTGACATACCATATGACTGCTTTTTATTCTATGCAGGTACATTTTTAGTACTTCTGAACACCAGGGATTGTAACTTTTAATATCTTGATTGTTTCAGTATTTACTATTACCAGTTAGCTGCAGATGAACACAGACTAAATGGATCTATCTACGTTGGAATGATAGTTGCAGGCTGTTTTAGTGTTGATGACACATGGTACAGAGCTAAAATTATTGCTATTCATCCAAATACTACTGATGTCACTGAAATAAGTTCATCAAATATTAGTAAGTCTGTTTTTGAGATGTATAATTTAAATTTAATATAATTCATAAAATACTGCCTTTGATTGTTAAATTGATTGTTCTGAACTGCTGCTGAAAACAATTATTTCAATATTATTAATAATTTCAACACAGTGAATTCTATTATTGGGGAAATGAAATGAAATGAAATCCTTGTTTAGAAGTACTTCATATTCAAATTATGACAATTGGAATTTGTACACTTATCAAGGCTCAGAAGCATATACAACATAGGCATCTCTACCTGTATCTCGAACATGTCTAGTCATATTCAAACTTCACAGATGCATGACACATCATGATCTCATTCAAGATGGCCGATTGGCAAAAATTTTCAGCTAAAAATTCATGAAAATCAAGCATTTCTGTCATTTCAGAACCGAATCTCAGTTGTACATAAACAGAACATCATTTTGTTTGTCATATCGGATTCAAAATGGCGACTGGTGGTCATTTAGAAAATGTTTGATATAAGTGAGCAATAACTGAGTTAAAGAAAATTATTGTTATTTTTGGTTTGAGGTGTCGTCCAATGCTTTTTGCTGTGTTCTTCATTCACAGTAATGTTATGGGGAAATATTATGATATTGCCAATATTTTATTATAGGTTGTGCAAGTCCTACTTCATCAGAATGTAGTTCATCTGTATATGAACACTCTGCACTTAATGATAATACTGAAGTTGATGTGTTATATATAGATTATGGTAATAAGGAAAGATTGCTATTAAAGAGACTTAGAGTACTTCAAGAAGAGTTTACAAAATTGCCATCTCAAGCTGTGTGCTGTTGTTTGGCGCAGGTTAGTTTTTATCGATACAGCAGCATAGCATGATTCCCCACAAACCACAGAACCAACACTGGTTTGATTGTGTGATTTCCATAATCCTCCAGAACCAATACTGGTTTGATTGCATGATTTCCAAAATTCCACAGAACCAACACTGGTTTGAATGCATGAATTTCAAAATCCCACAGAACCAACACTGGTTTGATTGCATGATTTCCATAATCCTCCAGAACCAATACTGGTTTGATTACATGATTTCCAAAATCCCACAGAACCAACACTGGTTTGATTGCATGAATTCCAAAATCCCACAGAACCAG